ATCTGCTAGATACTACAAGAACCTCATCTCCAAGTTTACAGGGATAAAATTATTAGCCAATAATAAAATATTGGCTAAAACAATTAGCTAATAAAGGAGAATATTTTGTAGCTAACGGTTGAAATGAGGTGGGTTTGGTGTTCTCTGAGCTTGGTTCTTTTCTTGCAGATATTTCATTACCCAAACTAGGTACCATCATCAGTGCTAGTAAGTTACTAGTAACTAACTTACTAGCACTGATGATGTTACCTAGCTTGGGTAATGGTTGTTTTCTTGCAGACATTCATTACCCAAACTAGGTACCATCATCAGTGCTAGTAAGTTACTAGTAACTAACTTACTAGCACTGATGATGTTACCTAATTTGGGTAATGAAATGTCTGCAAGAAAACAACCAAACTCAATGAGCACCAAAGACCTCATAAAATTACAGGTCTGTAGGCACTATCCCTACTTTATGGGATGACATTATATGTTTGTCCCCAACATGCTTTGCCCACCATGTGCTCGTGCAACCTTCCCTCAGCATACAGCCAACTCCCTACTCCAAATGATTTATTCTGTGGCTAGCCATGTCACTACAGTATGTAACTATAAGCACCTATACAATAACTACTATAACAAAAGCTGCCAGCTTAAACTGCTGACTACTATAACATGATTTCAGTAGGGCAGAAGAGAAAAAGGAAAAACAAATGGCCTGGAAAAATAATAGTTTGCAAAAAGTAAAATGACTTTTTGAAAAAGTCATCAAAATTATTTTTTTTTCTCCCTCTTCAGCATCACTAAGTGTTCTTGCATATGTACATTTATGAAGCTGACAGCATAAGGTTGCAGAAAAGAAAATTATTTTTTTCAGGACATGGCAAAATTTATAGGATGATTATATAATGAAAACATTTAGAATTACTCTGTGGTGAGATTTCCCAGCTAAAAAAATCCTAAGTCAAAATCCAGTTGGATCTGAATATATTAAAGGATGGTTGGTTAAAAAAAAATGTTTTCTACAAAGGCTGACATGGCAGTTCAGCCATATGCATTTTGCTTCACAGCAACTTATTCAGCAAAATCTTGCTAGAAAATAGTAAAATGTTACCTTTTTTCTTAGAGTTGACACTGTTTCATGGAGATCTACCTGTCACCAAATTGAGCAAAAGGAACTCCATGACAGCAGACCCCAGTAATTTCATTCATTTCCTCAAATCACACTGCCCATCAATAATATTTCATTTCTTCTGTACAGTGTGAACAATTAATTATAATGTTATTGAGATAAAACTAGAATAAATAGCAGAGTAACAGCTAAAACATATCATCTGTTTGGATAGGCAAACAGGTTTAAAAAGGTTTAAGAACAAGTTTCCAAACATCTTTGCTGTCTGAAAACCTACAAATACTGACCGTTTTTGATCAGATATTTCTTTATTATGGAGCAATAGTTGTTCTGGTGGCCAAGACACAAAAAGGAATTTATTAGACTGACACTTTTTTTGAACAAGTTGAAGAAAAATGATCTCTTTTGAAAAGAGCAATGTGGTTGCTTGCAGTGCAAAGAAACTTAAGAGAGATTTATTGTTATTATACTAACATTGAGTCTAGCTGCCATTTTATTCTTTTAAACAAATTATCTTAGTTTTGTTGTTTTCGTTTTTGTTTTCTAGACATTAGTCAGTCCCCCCCCCCAAAAAAGGTTGCCAGTTGTTCAATAAAGAGATGTACCTACTAACTGTTCAAAATCTGGGTCTACATTTCTTATGTGTGTGTATGTGTGAAATACTCCATCTCAACATGGAATGTTATATATTGTGTTTTATTACTGACATACTGTACAAGTGAATGAAAATAATATATATTTAATATGTTCCAATCTTCTGTGATTTTTTAAATGATTAGAATTTGGGGGCTTCTTTCTTTCTTTTATGTTAAATTCCATTACTACAAGAAATATGATTTCAGGAAAGCTAATATGCTTCAGATCTGTTCAAAGTCTATGAACAATAAAATAAAGCATAGAATACTAGTATAGCTTAAAATGTCTCCCATTATACAATGCATAATATTTAATTTCATCCAGTGAGGTTTCATTGTGAAGAAGAGTCTGAGGAAATAAAAGACTTCTCCAGTTTAAGATAATGTGCAACAATGCAGAATTATCACTTTATTCAAAGACATTGTTGAATGAGATTTAGAGTTTTGAACAGAGAAAATAGGATAAACATGGTTTGATGAGAGCTGCAGAAATTGTACAAGTAAATTATAGAAGCTATTTTCCCCTGAACATTCCATCTGATAGTAAATCTTCCTTACCTTGAATGTAAGAATAGAAAATTTATGTGTATTTTCTATGTACCTAGGAGCATGAAGATATTATCTACATCATAAGACCTTAATTACCACTATGATATGGAAACTAGGGTACTTTCCTTTTCTCTCTTTCTTAAATGCAAATTTTGGAATGACATTACAGTGAAATAGCCTTTATGTAATCATACCATTACTAGTTCCACACGACTTCTCTCTCCCACAATTGATTTTTAAAAAATTTTTTAGCTTGCAACATCACCAACAAAAAAGTGAAACTTTATTGTTGCAAATCAATATAGCACTGCTAGAAACTACTCTTCACAATTCTAAGAAAACTATGTTTTCATCTTGTCTACAGTTTTATTAATGGTTACATCACTATATTCAATCCTTAGCGTACTCATATGAGTAAAACAACATACCCCTGTCTTAAAAGGCTGATAATTGAGCTTATATACATGCGCCATAGTGCATAGGGTTTTCTGCACACTAAATTGAACACAAAGTCTAAGAAAATCAGTTTTCTGGAAGGCAACACATTTAAAAATGTTGGTTTCTGTAAATAAACTATGAGAGCTTGAATTAAGATTATCAGCTACTGAGTTTGCAAAATACTAGATTACAATGCCCATTAATAATTATTCAACACTAGTACTGATGTCCAGGTTTCAAAAAATGCATCAACAAAGCACTTTGGCTTTTTGTGCACAGTTAATGGTCAACATAATTTGTCATTCACATCTAATTTCACATCAGAGACAGCTTGTTGATATTTCTGTAGCAAATTATAGCACATTTTTGCCCTAATATCCACATCAAAACAAGTTCATCTTTTCTAATTTAGTTTCTACAAAAAGGCTTTTGGAAGTATAGTTTTCCTATCAAGGGGTCTGCTATCTGTGGGTTTACTGTATATTACAGAGTATCTTTAATCATCTATTTATTTTTCTTTTAGCTCAAATATTATGTATATATTAATGGAAAAAGATGATAAGGACATGTTTGTAAAACTAACTGAGTGATGGATGGTGATGTAAATGTAAATCTACTTTTTTCTTGTTTCCCTCACTAAAATATATTTTTTTAAAAACAGCTCTGCCATCTCCACATCTAATTACAAGTGGGGCTTATTTCTAAGGAAATATGCATAGAATTGCATTATACAGCTTCTCTCATAACCTTATTATGTAAATATTGCTCCTTAAGAGCAAGAATTTCCCTTCTGAAAATTTTGCTCATATTCTTTATCTGAAGAGGGCATTAATACAGGATATAAACCCACAAAAATAGCTTAACTATGACAAATAAATGAAACAGGTACATTCTGTCATTCCTGCTGCTTTCACATAGTTTTTACAATTGTTGTGAAGGCTATTATCTGTTCTGTATCCCTGCTGAGTGGAGCCTTTGGTGCTATTTTGTAGGATTTTGTATCGACTGCTGATTACTGTTCTGCTTTAATAGGTTCTAAATTAAGCTGTATTATAGCTTCTCTTTTTATGATGAGACATTAATTGGGTATGTTTTTGGAAGTTTGTTACTTCTTTCAAATAGGATTCAACCACCTTGAGTTGGATGAGATGGAGTCTAGAATAGTTTTAAAATTAACAATGCAAAAACCTTCCTGTTGCAATATAACAAAATCTATAACAAAATGTAACTGTAATGTTAATGTTCTTTACTCATACACATCCTTCTTTTCACTCTCACATAAAGTACTGAAAATAAAATCTGTATGCTTGCAATATGTTAAATCATTTTTTTCTCTTTTCAGCTCTACTTTCCTACTTTTCTCTTACACTCTACATGTAACCTACATACATTTCTATTCAGGAGGTTGTTTTGTGGCAGGTGCACTAAGTGCATTAGATTCCTCCTTGCACACCTCCCCAAACTATTAAGCCAATGGAGATCCTTTTACCTTTCACATGCGTGCATTGCACATGTGGAAGCCACAGGGTAAACAGATGAAATTAAATTAAACTGGGAAAGGTAACTCAAGAAAACAATGCAAGCAAACTCAGAAAGAACCAAGGACCCCTCATTTTAGCCCTGAGCTACAAATATTCTCCTTTAAAAGGTAGGTCATGCATAACAGAGTTCCACTTTCACTTTCTTCCAACACTTTCCTTGCATTGGCCAATCTCTCTTTTAAATTTATTTAAATATAATCATCACCTCTGGAGATTTTATCTGATCCCCATATCTAATTACAATATTGTCATGGCACAGCATCTTTGCCATTCAACAAGCTTTAACCTTTCTCATAAGAAAAGATTTAATTTAGGTTATGATATGTCCCTAAACAGACATTTGTCATATTGGGACTCTGTTATGAAGTTGCATGGTAGAAGGCACCTCTGTATAAATCCAAGATCATCTCTGCTGCCCTGAAACAATTCTGGTATTTGAGTTGCACAAATCCTAGATATGCAGTTTGCATCAACTGTAAATTAGTATGGAGAAGAGCAACAAAGATTATTAGGGGACTGGATGCTAAAATGTATGAAGAATGGTTACAGGAATTGGGTATCTTTAGATTAATCAAAAGAAGGACTAGGGGGTGACATTATCGCAGTGTTCCAATGTTTGAGGGGCTGCCACCAAAAAGGAGGGTCAACCTATTCTCCAAAGCCTCGAAGGCTGGGACCAGAAGCAATGGATGAATACTAATCAAGGAGAGAACCAACACAGAACTAAGGAGAAACAGAACAATTAATCAGTGGAACAACTTGCCTCCAGAAATTGTAGGTGCTTCAACAATGGAGGTTTTTCAGAAGAGATTGGACAATTATTTCTCTAAAATGGTATACAGTAGGATTTCCTGCTTAAGCAGGGGGTTGGACTAGAAAACCTCCAAAGTCCCTTCCAACTCTGTTATTCTATTATTCTGTTAAAGTAGCAATGAAGATTCCTCAGTAATCAAGATTATCTGAAATGAAAATACTGCCACACACAAATAGCAGCCTTGCTTGAAATTAAGTACCCTTTGTCACTGAAGCATTTCACATTTCCTTGAGAACTTCATGTGTAGCTTCAGATACTACCACTTTTATAGCTGCTTCTCCCTTATTTATTTGCACATTTGGAGCAGAAATTCTTTTATCACATTTTAATAGTTTTATCATGCTGGTGAACTTGCAAAAATATGTCTAGAGAGCAAAAAAGATAATTAATTAAAGGTGCCTATTAAATTATAATGTTTTGTAGCTATTGCTGTTTTGCCTTTTTATTTTTCAAAATGGAAATTAACATTATATTTCAAATGTCAAAAATCAATGCATGTAATACCTGGTTATTCCTGAAACAACTAGAAGAAATATCTTAAAGGAAAGGAATCCTTCTTACTGACCCCCCAAAAATAAGCCAAACAAAATAGGACATTTTTGCTATATATTTGAAATTTTCTTTTAACATAACAAGATTTAGGATCAAAATGGGTACTTTAAATATTTACAAAGATATTACAAATCCCACTTCCTGATGTCAATTTTTGTTACGGATGTGATTATGTGTATATATGTAATATATACATATAGCTGTATTGGAAACAAGAATAGCTTTGAGACAACGTTTTTCAATGTGGGGCAGAAGGAGAATTAAACCCAATTTATGTGCATCCTTGTGTATACCAGAATCCTATAAAATTATACAGAAGCCTGAAAAAGTGACAAAACTAGCAGAGATTAGAAAAGTGACTGTTTTCCTTAGAAAAAAGAATACACCCATTTCTGTTTCTTCTTGGAAACTGTTTCTAAACTTTGTTCTTGAGACAGAAAAAAAATGAACTTTTGACTTTCAGTTTTGCTAATTCATCTAGTTTGTTATTATAGAAATGGTTAGTACTTGTTAAGTTCCTAACATAAAAAGTTGAAACTGTAATTCTATTTTGTACTTTATTGTGCTAAACAAAGTTGAAAGTCAATGCTTTTTCCCCCCTCTTTGCTCTACACTTCTATTTCCCCCTTCATTCCTTTCCCTATAATTTTCCTATTATCTTTATTTTTATTTGAAAAAAAAGTATATAAAGAAATGGAAATACCCATGCAGGGATCACAACAGAATAAGTTCCAATCTGTTTGCATTGACAACCAACCAACTAATCAAAACACTCTTCTCTTCCATAATTATTAGCTGTTTTTCAACTAAGATTTGGTGTGTGTTGATTCCAGGCTTCTTCTTTCATGATTGAATGCTTTTTTTCCTGTTTTTATGTCAAATTTTAAATTCTATTTGCTTTTGCCTTGTTTTGTGCGTTGCACCAAGAAATAGCCCACTGATTGTGCCGACTTCTTTATCTGAGATGCTTAATCTGCCTAACTTGAAATGGACTTCTCTCACTTCCCCACTTCCAACTATATATAATCAAATACATTTCTCCACTTTCAAATTAAGAATGAAACTAAGACACTAGCTACACTAATCATTTATAGTCTGCCTATTATGATAAAAAAAGATTAATATTGCTTTCAAAACCTCTATCTTTGACGACTACATGGACATAACGGCATAGTTGTCTTGACTGTAATATTAAAGTGATTTGTCATTGTATGCCTGCAGAATACTATTTTTTACTTCTCATTCTAGATTATAGCCCTAAAATTTCTTTATAGATTCACATAAATACTACCCCAATCTGACCCTTTATAATCTTTCAGCATCAGCAAGATCAACTATGTACATGCATAAGACGTTAAAAAAAAATCATAGGTATAAGTAGTCTTGTGACAAGATCAGTTTAATGAACAAGTGTAATGCAGATATCAGTGAGAAATACCATATTTCTATTTCTGCATATAGGTGCTCTAAATATATGATGTAGGCATTTGTAAGGAAAGAAATCTATGGTGATAATCAGTGTTAAATTCCTTTTTTTGCGGGGGGATAGAGTTTAGCTAACCCCTTGTTCTTTTGCATTAGTCTAAAGGCACAAGAATCAGCTACCTATTATTCATACAATATAATATGTAGTTGGTTCTCCAAATTGGGAATGGCATGAACACACATTGAAGAAAGTTACTGAGAGATACTACACTTTAAAAAAAAAACCTTATGAGCTAATTTTAGTTGTCACATTCTTCACAGATTTCTTATCTGGGAGAGGTGTATGGTTGCATTAATTCCATGCTTGAGGCTCTTTTTTCTTTTAAGAGGAATGACTAAATTAAGGATAGCTAAATGTTTAAAAATACCAATGTATAACTGCTACCGGTATATCATTTCAACAAGTGACAGTTTCATAATAAAACAAAATCTGGCAATTTCATATTATCCAGTTTCTACATATTTCAAAATGCAGTTGTTGACTTGAGGCAAAGAAGACAATGATCTTGTGTTCATTTCTGAAAAATGTTTCTTAAGTTTTAACAGAAAACATTGATCCCTTTTCCCATAAAGTGCCCCAAATCTTTCCTCTCAAAGACAAAACTATTGTGATTTTGAAAATGAGGCATAACATTACTGGCTAGTTTCTTTTACAAAATTAATTTTTAAAAAATATTGTTGCTGCAGTAGTTATTATGAGGCAAGAGAGTAAGTTTATAATATACCATAAAGTACCTTTTACAGAAAAGACAGCTAACACATGGGTTAATGAACATTATTCTTATTTCTTCCTTCATCTCACAATCAAAGGCTTATCATTATGTCCCTTGTTTGGGTAATGTGATTGGCCAGCCTAACTTGTAAACTCATATACGTTAACATCTTACATAAAAATGCAGTTCATCAGAAGGTATGAAGTTGCAATCACCCATTCCTGTGATTTTTCAGAACACTGTTTTCTACCGCATCAGTTAATGAGGCATGTAATGAGTCCATCAACTATATGATTTCATATAACATATCAGATCTTGACTGTGTAGATGGTAGAATAATCTCCAAGGTACATATTTTAAGCCTGTCCTTCAATTTACTCCATTTGTAAATGTACATTGCATACAACTAAATACTTATGATAAAATGAAATCAACTTCATTACCAAGCAAAGGAACAATAATTTGAAACATGAAGATAATTTCAGAGTGACCTCAATGTACTTTGCTGGGAGGTGCAATTTTGTAGAGTTGCTTCACCAGCACTGCAGCTGATAGGAATCATTAAGATTTAACCAATCCATGCAGAACATTCAAAATCTAGTAGCATTGTGTATTAATCAAGGCAGAAAATTAACTTGCAGCTTCTTCATTCCATAGCTGGCTTTTAAGACAATAGGAGCTGACAGAAAAATCACACATTTATGATGGTGGCTTTTTCATGTGAAAAACTTAACACAAAGGCTTGCTCTGCTGAAAGCCAAACATGTGTTTAATGAAGCTTCCCTTTAATGCAAAATGGCTTATATAGGAAATTAAAAAAAGTGAGGATTTGTAGAAACACAGAAAGTGGAGCTGATATTTTATACACACATACAAACACACACACACACACACACACACACACACTCCTGTTTGCATCAAGGGAGGAAAAAAAAAAGACACATCCAAAATGATAGGGAGAAGCAGTCAGAAGGGATTAGAAAGCAGAATATTCCACCCTGCCTTTTGCTTTGCCATAGTAGGTTGCTTAAAAGGCAAGAATGTTCTAAAAACAGATGGCAGCAGATCTCTCCTCCGGCATTCAGCTCTGACCTGATTTCTCATTCAAGGATGAAGAGCTATATATGCTTTAGCCCATTACTCCTCTGAAGTAAAGTGGGGAACCAGTGTCCTTCAAACATCAAAGCTTTAGGCATTTTTTAGCTCCCTGCCCTGATGAGCTAAAATGAACTTAAGTATTCCAGTGCAACCTCATATACAAATTTATATTGTTCCTGAAAAAGATAAAAGGAGAACACAGCGCTAAATCAAGATAATATTCAAGTGACTCATTATTTCAATCCACTCTACTTTAAGATCAGGTTTAGACTCCCAAAGCTCCCAAAATCCTATACACAGATACAGGATTCCAAATTTGCATTCAGTGTTCCATGTGATCCTTAGAATATTATTGCTCCATTTCATCAAATTGCCAAGGTAGAAGAATATGGGCAATATTACAAGTAGAAATTTAGATTACAGCACAATCAGATTGAAATGTCTTCAACCACCCACATCAAATAAATGCATTGTTTTAAAATTTCAAAGGCAAAAAAGATTTGTTTTTTTTTTTTTAAAAAAAGACAAATACCTATGGGTCTACCATAAAACCTGCACTTCCCCTGCTTTTCTAAAGATAAAAAGTTAGAAGACGAAATATAATTTTCAAGGAAGAATTTTTAATAAATTGAGATTGATCTAGGACAGGGATAGGCAACCTTGGCTCTTTTATAATTCATGGGCTTCAACTCCCAGAATTCCTGAGCCAGCCATGCTGAGGGGAAAGGGAGAGGTTTCCAAGCTGAACAGTGCTGGCTCAGGAATTCTGGGAGTTGCTTCCGGTTTGTCACGCGGCTGCCATGGAAGGCTTGAAGACTTGCTCTCTCTCTCCTCCGTTCAGTTTTGCATCACTGGGGGGCCCTGAAAAGGGCCAAAAGTCACCCTGAAGAGGCGACCAGCAAGGAGGGGCTTTTGCTGGATTGCGGGAGAGCAGCAACTCTCCCGTCACAGCAGGCGATCCCTCCAAAGGACCGGCCATAGAAATATGGCTCGTCCCTAGGCTGCTAACAGCCGAAGTCTCATTACTATCTGGCAACTTCAAAGCAGCATGGACAGGACTGGGTGAGGTTTGCCTCTCTTACATCCTAATTACTTAATTACCTGCATAAGCTGCTAAAGTACTTTCCCCCCTGTGGTGAGGGAAGGGATTCTAGTGCTTCTAGAAACAGCAGCATATAACCACTTGGGAGTTTAAAACATTGGAAAAATACTGGGATCCTAATTGGAATTCTATTTCTTAAAATTGGTGGATTATAAGATTTGTAACTTTCTACTCTATTTTTTTTCTCTGATTTTCACTCTAATTACTATTGAAAATTTGGGGTTATTTCCTCTTAAAATAGAGGGGGGGAAACTAAAAAGATCCAACTAACTCTGAGACATAACCTGCTATTCTTCAAGAGACTTGTTGACAGCTTTAAAAATAGATAAGATATAAAGCAACCTTGAAACACCATCTGCAAAAACTCAGCTCAGCTCCCCATTTGGTGGACTTTCTGACTGTAAGTTTCTTTTTTTTTTTTTGAGCTTAATATACTACAATGGAAGAAGAACAGGAATGGATTTCTTCTACAGAGGAAGTACAGGAACAAATTCTTTGTATGCTAAAAGCGATGATCCAAACTTTACGTATAAGTCTGGATATGCAAATTCAAACTATGACTTAAACCAAAGAATTATTTATAAAGAATTCTATAGAGAAAGTGAAACAACTAAATGCTATGACAGAAGACTTAGATACTCAACAAATACAGACAATGGAAAACACAAAAAAGAAACTGATAATAGAGAACAAGGAAAGGACTTTTCTTATAAACCAGAAGGAATTGAAGATAAAAAAGAAAACCAGACGAAAGAGAAGATAAATACTTCAGGACAACTGCATTGAACTAGAAAAACAAAGAGACTACCAGCTAAATCAACTAGTCCTCTTAAGAAAACATTAACTAGATGCTCTTATCAACATCAAACAATATCCACAACAATACAGGGAGATTTTTTTGATGATTTAAAGGCAAAGATATGAAAAATGACCTGGTAGAGAAAAAAAGTAGAATAAGATTGAAAAAGATTGGGGTTTTGATCTATACATGAGATCTAAAATAGAATATATCTAAATGGATAGAATATGTATTCTGACACAAGATATTGTAACGATTTGAGATAAAGAAAATTTTGATCACATAAAATCTAGAAATATATTGAAATAAGAATATTATACTGTCTTATTAGATTGGTAAGATAGATGGTAGAATTTATATACAAGGTGTGTATTTTAAATACTAGAATGCATGAGGAATTGTGATAAAGAAATTGTGTTTAATTAAAAATCTGGAAAAAATAAATATTAAATTAAAATATTAAGGGAAAATTAACCATCAGGTTACTGATTGGCTAAAAGTTTGAATGTTTACAAATAACTAAGATTTGAATTTAAGATATTGTTATGAGTTGAGACAAAGGTTAAGTAAATACTAATAATTATATTTGTATATGGGTTTGTGGTACAAATGTTGGTGGTTTATTTTTATTTATTTTATTTTATTTTCTCTTTCTGGAAAGGAAGAAAGAAAGGAAGTAGAAGGAAGAAAAAAAATTATTAGCCCCAAATGTGAGATACGAGACTTAGAAATTGGGATCATTTAAAATCTGGAAATGATAAAGATTAAACGTTAAACTTAAATATCAATGGGAAATTAAAGTTAAGAAAAACTTACTAGGTTATTGTCTAAAAGGTGGAATGTCAAATTAATTAAGATATATATAGACTGAAGATTATTGATGAATATTAGAAAGGTACTTTTTGTTTGATTGATAGAATAAGAATAATGAAAAAAGATTTAGAGATTTGGGGAAAACTACAATTAACATTGTTAGGAAGGATTTCTGTGATCAAAATGAATATTCTACCAAAATTATTATATTTATTTCAGACAGCTCCAATAAAATTGTGAATTTTTTTTTTTGACAATTTAAACAAAATGATTAATAAATTTATATGGTTAGGTAAAAAAGCACAAATAAATGTTAAAGCATTACAGGATAACAGAAGTAGAGGTGGCCTTGGGCTTCCAAAATGGGAAACCTATTATCAAGCAGCAGGGTTGCTTTGGATTAGCGATTGGATAAATTTAAAAAATAAAAGGGTTCTAACAATTGAAGGTCATGATTTACAGGCTGGTTGGCATGGTTTTTTATGGGGAAAAGATAAAAAGTCCCACAAATACTTTTACAGGGACCAGATAAGAGATGCATTAATTTGGACATGGGAAAAAGTAAATAATAATAATAATAATAATAATAATAATAATAATAATAATAATAATAATAATGAATTGGTGCTTATACTTGATACTGCAATATCAAGTATAAGCACCAATTCACTGCAAGAAACAAACCAACTAATGTACAGCACAGCTGCAGTTATAACAGAATACCTGGGATGAAAAATCAACAAAGAAGAAAAACAAACAAATAGTGCACCAGAAAAATGGAAGGTTAGACTAGAAAATAAGATCAGCAAGTTAAGATCACATGCAAGCAAGCTAGAACAGATGAAAGAAAAGAAGCTGAAGAACAAGAAGACCAAAGAATACCTAATCAAGAAATACCGCTTAGAAACAAGGAAGATCAAGGAAGCAATGGAAATAATAAAGCAACAAATAACAGCTATAGCCAGGAAAATCAGTAGATATGAAGCTCGAATTGCAAACTATAGGCAGAAACTCCAATTTCAATCCAATCAGAAATGTTTCTACCAATCCATCAATGGAGAAACTACAAGGAATCAGTCAGTACCTGACAAGGAAGAAACAGTGCAGTTCTGGAAGCAGATATGGGATAACCCAAAGAAATACAACAAGGATGCGGCTTGGTTAAAAGAGGTGGATGCAAATAAAACAGAAGTTGAAATGAAAGAACTAGTAATAACAACAAAAATGTTAGAAAAAAGAGCAAAGAAAATCAAAAATTGGTCAGCACCAGGTGAAGATGAACTGCATGGGTTTTGGTTGAAACATCTAACTGTTATACAACCACTCATTGCCAAACAGTTCAACAATATACTACAAGGAGGAGAAATTGAAAAGTGGCTAACAACTGGGAAAACCTACCTAATAATGAAAAATCCAGCAAAAGGGGCAACACCAGGTAACTACAGGCCAATTACCTGCTTACCAACAACTTTCAAATTACTAACTGGTGTAGTAGCTGATGCAGTGCAATAGCATCTAGTTGAAAACAATCTCTTTCCACCTGAGCAGAAAGGAAACCGCCCCAATAGCAGAGGAACAAAAGATCAACTCCTAATAGACAAAATAATCTTGGAAAACTGCAAGAGAAGGAAGACCAACCTGAATGTGGCATGGATTGACTACAAAAAGGCATTGGACTCTCTGCCACATGATTGGATAATCAAGTGCCTAGAAATAACAGGAGTCAGTAGAAACATCAGAAAATTTGTGCAAAGATCGATGGCACAATGGAAGACACAGTTGCAGATCAATGGTGAGAGGCTGGGAGAGGTTAATATCAAGAGAGGAATATTTCAAGGAGATTCATTATCACCATTACTATTTGTTATTGCACTGTTTCCTCTGTCAACAATACTGAATAACTCAGGACATGGCTATCAAACATCAAAAACATCTGCCAGACTATCCCACCTCCTTTATATGGATGATCTGAAGCTGTATGGAAAAACATCATCTGAAATAGAATCGCTGCTCAACACTGTCCGTATATATAGCCAAGATATTGTAATGGAGTTTGGCTTGGACAAATGTGCCACACTTACTATCAAACAAGGAAAAATAATGAAAACTGAAGGAATCAAGATGCCCCACGAAAATAACATTAAGAGTCTGGATGAGGAAGAGTACTACAAATACTTGGGTATCCTTCAAGCTGACAACATCAAGCACACTGAAGTCAAGAAAAAGATTAGAGGTGAATACATCAAGAGAGTGAAGAAGATCTTAAAATCCAAACTCAATGGAGGAAATACCATAAAGGCAATCAACACCTGGGCAATCCCAGTCATTAGGTACACAGCTGGAATAGTGGACTGGACTCAAGCAGAACTAAAAGCAATGGATAGGGACAATGAATCAGGCACCACGCAGTGACATTGATAGACTTTATCTACCAAGGCAAATAGGTGGGCGTGGAATGCTAC